TAATCTCGTATCTGCAGCCTTTGCTGAACTTGTTTATTAGCTCTAGTAGCTTTTTAGTGAATTCTTTAGCGTTTTCTATATACAAAACCATCTGTATGAAAGTGGGATATTTTTACTACTTCCTTTCCAATCAAATTAGTAATTCAAAGTCTGTACTTGTTAAATACATCTATTCACATAGTCTGTTTCTTCATAAGGTTAGTTTTAAAATTTTGTTTCTTTCTAGGACTTTGTTTTATCTAATTTATCTGATTTTTTTGCATACAATTGTTTATAGTATTCCCTTAGAATCGTTTTTATTTCTGTAAGGTATGTGGTGATGTCCCTTCTTTCATTCCAGGTTTTAGTAATTTCAGTCTTTTTTTTCCTTGCTCATTCTATAAAGGTTGTCAATTTTGTTGATCATCTTAAAGAACCCACTTTTGGCTTTATTGGTTCTTCTCTATTTTCTCTTGTCTCTATTTCATTTGTTTCCACTCTAATCTTTAATATTTCCTTCTTCTTGCTTTGAGTCTAGTTACTCTTTTTCTAGTTCTTAAGGTGGAAGATTTGACTTTCGGTGTGAAATCTTTTCTTCTTTTATAATACAGACATTTAGGTCAGTAAATTTCCAAATGAGCCCTGCTTTCTCTGCATGTCAGGTAATGGAAACTACCTACAACTTTCAATTTTGGTATCATCCATGTTCTTTTTCATTCCTCTCTAAGTATTTTCTAATTTCTCTTGAGATTTATTCTTTAATAACTTAGGAGTATGTTTCATTTACACACATTTGTGAATATCCCAAATTTTCTTTCATTGATTTCTACTTTCATTCCATTGTGGATAGAAAATATACCTTGCAAGATTTCGGTCCTTTTAAATTTATTCATTTGTTTTGTGGCCTAGGATATAATCTATCCTGGAAGATGTTTCATGTATGCTTGAGAAAAATGTGTTTCTGCCGCTGCAGGGTAAAGTGTTCTATAGATGTCTGTTAGATCTGATTGTTTGATACTGCTGTTCAAGTCTTCTGTTTCCTTGTTGATATTCTCTAGCTTTCCTTTGTATAATTGAAAGTGGGATATTAAAGTCTCCAGCTATTATTGTGGAGATGTCTGATTCTACCCTAAATTTTGTCTTGTTCTTGCATCCTATATTTTGGGGCTCTGTTGTTTGATGCTTATATATTTGTAATTTTCATGTCTTCCTGTTAGATTAGTCTTTTATGATTATAAAATATCTCTAACATTGTTTTTGTTTTAAAGTCCAATATAAGTGTGACCATTCTAGCTCTTTTGGTTTCTATTTGTATAGTATTTTTATCCATTCCTTTGACTTTCAACTTTATCTGTGTCTTTGCATCTAAAATACGATGGTGTTTGCTTGGTCATTTGTATATTTCCTAGTGATCTGGCTTCCCCTTAGTGCTGATCTCCTTGATTTTTTTTTTTTTTTTTTTTTTTTGATTCTCACTCTGTGGCCCAGACTGGAGCCCAGTGGCATGCTCATGGCTACTGCAGTCTCAACCTGCCTGACTCAGGTGATCCTTCTGCCTCAGCCTTCCAAGTAATTGAAACTACAGGTGTGTGCCTCTGTGCCTCGCTAATTTTTTGATTTGTTGTCGAGATGAGCTCTCATCAAGTTGCCCAGGCTGGTCTCAAGCCTCTGGGCTCCTCTCACCTCCACCTCCCAGAGTGCTGGGCTCACAGGCATGAGTCACCACACCTGGCTCTTGTTCAGATTTTTTAAAAATTATTTTGTCTTTTTTGGTTCTAGTTATTGAAGGGCCTTACCTTGGTTGATATCATCTGCTTATTGATTAAATTTGTCCTTAATCCTTCTCCGCCAGTTAAATTTTTATCATTTACTGTTGGATGTGTGTGACTCTGAGATTACTATCACACATCACAGAGTGTGTATGCTTTTTCTGTCCCATGGTCACCCAGAGACTAATAGCTTGAAGGTTCACTCTCTGATCACTCCAAAAAGGCATGCACACAGTCTTCCAGATTGCCAGGAATGACTGGATGCAATTTTTAAATATTGGCTTTCTAAACATTGACCCTAAGTTCAAGTAGAGTAGTATTCAGTGCCAGTGAAGCTTTATTTTTGCTGGTAGGTCTCTGTGTGGCTTTGGAAATGCTTTCTTGCCTGTTCTACATCTTACTCTAATTGTTCCTGATTGATTGCCCCCCAGTGCGTGTGCACAGGCTTGTGACCTCCAGAATTGGCTGTGATCCCAAAAGAACTCTTCTTGGCTGTCCCTTTTCCCGATTTTCTCTATTAAACTTCTGGCTTGCTTTGCTTGTATCATAGAGCTGCCAGCTTCTCTTAATTGTTTTCCTCCAAGCACTGTTCCAAATAAAGTCAATTCTTTCAGGCAGAACTGCTACAGAGTTTTTTGTCCTCGTGACCTGCCTTTCACCTTGGGCAAAACTCATCTCATTACCCCTGAGCTGAGGTCAGGGACCAGCTTTTCTGGAGTAACATAGTCTGCAAGTCAGCACTTGAGAGAGTTGGCAATCCCTGGTCTTCTTAGCTTGCTCTTCCTGGGAGATTCTCTACCTGTGAGCAAATTAGAGTGGGGAAGATTGGAACTCCTAGCCTTCTGCCTTGAAAGAGGGAAGAAGGGAGAAGAAACCTCATCCCTACAGTCACACCTGTCTAGAATAGACCTTCAGTAACATAGTGCTGGGGAAGGATGAGAAATGCTTCTAGTAAGCTTCCTCTTCCATGGTGAAACCATAACCCCAGACTCTGAAAGAAGAAAGAGGGAAATGATCTTCTAGGTCTGAGTAGAGTGCCCAGGGTAAAACTTCTGTGACATGGCACTGAGGAGGTGGAGTAAGAGAACAAGTTGTAAACCATATATCAAAAACTGTGTTTTCAGCTGGGTGCTATGGCTCATGTCTGTAATCCCAGCACTTTGGGAGACCAAAGTGGAAGGATTGCTTGAGCCCAGATATTCAAGACCATCCTAGGCAACATAGTGAGACCTTGTCTCTACAAAAAATTACCTGGGTGCGGTGGTGCGTGCATATAGTCCCAGCTACTTGGGAGACTGAAGCAAAAGGATTGCCTGAGCCCAGGAGGTCAAGACTGCGGTGAGCCATGATTGTGTCACTACACTGCAGGCTGGGTAACAGAGCGAGACCCCAACTCAAAACAAAACAAAACAACTATGTTCTTACTGAAATTTTGTAGATTTTCTTGAATGAATGTTTTTCCTTATACTGTCTGACTTTGGGACAATATCCAGAGACTTTAAATGATGTTTTTAAAATCATTTTCAACAGTTAAATTGTGTTTTGCTTGAGAGAGACACTATGTAGATTCCTATTCTATAATTTCAGAAGTCTCCTCCTGGCTCAAATTATATTTTACTACTTATACTAGATTAACCTAAATAATACATCTAGCATACTGAATGTTTGCCTGTGTGCACACCACCTAAAGTAAAATATTGCCATTATTGAAAGCAACTAAAATATCTGTGTTGCTGATATGAAATCCACAATCATAATTTGCAACTTCCTTAAGATTGTGTAGGAAAATCTGGTTGTCAAATGAAATTCTTAAAAGAATTTTAATTCTTATTTACTTGTTGGTTGTGGTTTATATTTTAATTCCTACATGATATGGTATTGAAAACTATTTCTGGTCTTAAAGTTTGTTAACCTATGCTTTGTTAAATCTATCTAAAACAAATATAGTATGACTTAGTTAGCTTGGAAAGCCAAATTTCATTCTTTCTTTCTTTTTCTTTTTTTTGAGTTGGAGACTTACTCTGTTGCCCAGGCTGAAGTACAGTGGCACACTCACGGTGATCCTTCCACCTCAGCCTTACAGAAAACTGGAACTACAGGCGCACACTACCACTCCTAGCTAATTTTTGATTTATTGTAGAGACAAGGTCTCACCAAGTTGCCCAGGACTGGTCTCAAACCCATGGGCTCAGGCAGTCCACTCACCTCAGCCTACCAAAGTGCTGGGATTACAGGTTGAGCCACCGAGCCCGGCCAGAAAGCCAAATTTCAATTAAAAGTGCTTTTATAAACATTTTTAAGGTTACAAATAACTAAAAATAACATGTCCAAGAACTTGGCAACTCCATACAGTTGTATCTTTGTATACAGTAATGTGCTGTATAACAATGTTTTGATCAACAGTGGACCACATCTACTACAGTGACCCCATAAGATTATAATGCCCTATTTTTACTGTACCTTTTTATGTTTAGATACATTTCGATATGAAACTGAGGCATGTTTCATTTGTGCTCAGTACAGTACAGATACAGATACATACTGTACAGATCTGTAGTGTAGGAGTAATAGGTGCTCCTAAGTCTATAGCAGGCTGCACCATCTTGGTTTGTGTGAGTACTCTCTATCATGTTTGCATAGTGACAAAATTGCATAGCAACACATTTCTCAGTTGTTAAGCAACACATGGCTGTGTATGTTTCTTCTTCTATAATGTAAGTATTTTGAAGGAATGGATCGTTTCTCACCCATCTCTGTACTTCTACTTAGATCCAAAACTCAGTCCCTTTAACCATGGGATTCAGCCACATTGCACAACTGATAAGGTGCTTTGTTTTCACACCCATATGTCCTTCCTGATACTTCTTTCCTTCATTTGTCAAATCTGTCTTACTTTCATCTAACTCAATATTATCTTCTCCTTTAAGTTTCTGTTTCTCTGCCAGGGGAGGGAGGGGCATACCTCATCAACAAGGATACCCACAAAATGAACATTTGTGTACCTAACCCTGAATTGTATCCCAAATCTTAAAAAAAAAACCAAAAAAAAGTTTCTGTTTCTACAGTCAGAAATAGTCATACCTTTCTGTTCCAGTGGCAGTTTTTTATTTTTACTTACTGTATTTATTTGTCTCCTTCTGTAAACTATAAGATCTAAGTCTTTTTTAACTTTTTTTGCCACATACCTTGTGCATAGAACTTAATTAGTGGAAAAATTAATGACTAAATGAATGATGTAATCTTGTTTTACAGCCGAGAAACACACAAGATTGCAGTATTTTATGTTGCTGAAGGACAAGAAGACAAGCACTCCATTCTCACCAATACAGGAGGAAGTCAAGCATATGAGGATTTTGTTGCTGGTCTTGGTTGGGAGGTATTTTTTTTTTTATTATGCAAAATATCGGGCAACCCCCTCAGGTCCCCTCCCACTGTGGGAGCTTTTCTGTCCTCTCAATAAATCCTGCTTTCTCAGAAAAAATTATGCAAAATATTATTTTATTTCTATTTGGAATAAGAGAGCTTATTTTAGAAGCATTTTAGTAGATCCAACAGCCTAACAATAGGTTTGTTAACTGTTCCTGCCTTATAGCTCATCTACAAATACAGTAGCAGTTAGGAGATTGAAAGGAAAGGTGTTGACTGTTTTATGGGATGATATGTTGTCAAAGAGTACTAAACTCATAAGTTAGAAGATCTGGATTTTCCTTACAGTTGTGGCTACCAGACTATTGGTCTTCAAACTAGGGCCTAAAGGCTAAACAGAGGCTTTCCAGGAGCAAGTGGGCACACTTAGTTTTGAGAAAATTAGCTTCCAGATCCTCAACGTTACTAAAACTAATGCTTGAGAACCCTGCTATGGTGTCTTGCCTCTGTTGTTGACTTGTAAAAGAAAGGCAAGAAAAAAAAAAGAAAGAAAAGCATACTACTTACCTATTCCAAATTCTACATTGCCTCAGAGGGGTTTGGCACCAACAAAAGAAACACTTCAAGAGGGTATACTTTCAAGAGAGTCCCTGAGAGCAGAGCAAGAAATATTAAAAGGTGTTGTACTTTATGTTGTCCTGGCAACCAACTCATGTCAAGATTTCTCTACCAAATCTGTTTATCTTAGAATTATAACTCAGAAAGTTAGGTATTTGTCAGAGGTGTTTGTATTAATACGTTTACTTGAATTGAAAAATGAAGCGTCAAATATGTTCTAACAGAAAGTGACCTGATGTGACTGAGCAGTATGTGATTAAGTTGATGCCAGACATTTTCTGTATATTGAATCAGCCAAATCTGTAGCTCCAATATTTTGATAAAAATATATTTAAAGTGCATACACATACACACACACATATATAGTATGCTGGAAATTATATCTTTGGCAACCATTTAAACTTATGATGATTATTTTTATTATAGTTTTCAATTTGTTTCTCAAAATTCTTATAGAGAGTATCAGAGCAAAATTGTTGAAGACCACTTGCACTAAGCTATAAGCTTCTAGAGGACACTTTCCTCTCAGTGCTTTTTTTTTAAATTCCCAGTGCCTTTTACAATACTTGTTTGCATGTAGGCCTTTAGCATTCAATATGGGCGCGTGTATGTGTGTTTTAGTTGAAGTCTCACTCTGTCACCCAGGCTGGAATACAGTGGCATGCTCACGGCTACCTCATCCTTGACCTGCTGGACTCAGGCAATCCTTCTGCTTCAGCCTTCCAAGTAGCTGGAACTACAGGCACAAACCACCATATACTGCTAATTTTTTTTTTTAAATTTATTGTAGAGATGAGGTCTCACCAAGTTGCCAAGGCTGGTTTCGAAACCTGGGCTCAGGCAATCCACTCACCTTGGAGGACTTAAATTGCTTTGTAAGAGGGGAACTGAGTAGCTGTAGGTGAGAGATATGAAAGGAAGAATTTTGGTATACTTTATTATAGTTTTGAATTTTTAGTTATGTAAATGTATTTCAGTGTCAAAATTAATTTTTTAAAATTCTGATAGACTTTTTTGTCTTTTATTCAAGCTGATTTCCTTATAGTACTGATGTTAAAAATTAAGAGCATAAAAAAGGCATAAAAATCAATCATCTGTTTAGCCATTAATAACTGATATTGATATTTGAGATGTGTTCGGTTCACATGGTGTAGGGATTTAGTTTTGTAATTCTTCATTTTACCTCTTATTCAGATTTATTATTATAAAGCATATACATAAATAGTTTTCTCTATATTTCCCTAATTTTAAGTGATGTACACAAGTCCTTGGCTTCTGTGCATCACAAGTCTAAGGAATATCATCCAATGCAGCAACACTGATATTAATATGTATTATATTTTCAATCAGGATATAAAAAATTTTTTAAGTTTTTAATGCAGATTAGGTCTGGCATGGTGGCTCATACCTGTAATCCCAGCACTTTGGGAGGCCAAGGCAAGAGAATCACTTGAACCCAGGAGTTCAAGACCAGCCTGGGCAACATAGTGAAACTTCATCTCTACATAAAATACAAAAAAATTAGCCAGGCATGGTAGTGCATACCTGTTGTCCCAGATATTTTTGTGGGAGGCTGAGGCAGGAGAATCACCTGAGCCCACTGCACTTCAACCTGGGCAACAGAATTAGGTCTTGCCTCAAAAAAAGAAAAAACTTTATGCAGATTAATTTGCTGTTTTTAAATGTAATATTAAAATGTAATTAAGTTCTGCACTGTTGTTTTCTATTTATGTATGTATGCATGTCTGTATTTATTTTAGTTCGGATCTCACTCTCACCCAGGATAGAGTGCAGTGGTACGGTCACAGCTCACTGCAATCTTAAACTCCTGGACTCAGGTTATCCTCCTGAGTAGCTGGGACTACAAGCATACACCACCACACCTGGCTAATTTTTATTTTTTGTATTTTTAGTAGAGACGAGGTCTTACTTTATTACCCAGGCTCATCTTGAACTCCTGGGCTCAGGTAATCTTCCCACCTTGGTTTCCCAAAGTGCTAAGATTACAGGTGTGCGTCACTGTGCCCTGCCAAGTTCTGCATTTTTAATTTTTGTTCTGGGCTATAATAAGTGCTAACAAATCAGGAAACCAGTTTTATGAATAAATATGGTACACCTAATTAATCATTGTATTAAATAGATATTACTGTTTTAACTTTCCCCCAAATCATTTCCAGATTTGATTATTTTCTCTCTTGCCTTGGTTTCTTGACAGCCTATAAAATTTACCATTTACACATAATATTCTAACAAAAGATGCATAGTATACAGCAGCTGATTTATTTTCTAATTAACTCCTACTAATTAGGGGTCCTCAAATACTTAAGAAAAAATACCAGTGCAAACAGATCAACTCTAGCAATTCTACATTAAGTATTAGTTGATAACATGCAAAAGACTTTCTTCCCAGTGTTTTTGTGAAGTGAGAAGTTTGACTCTTTTTCAATCGTGTTTTTAGTTTTACTTAGTTAATTAATTGTATGTGGCTTTTCATTATTTCTAGGTAAATCTTACAAACCATTGTGGTTTTATGGGAGGACTACAAAAAAACAAAAGCACTGGATTGACTACTCCCTATTTTGCTACCTCTACAGTAGAAGTAATATTTCATGTATCAACAAGAATGCCTTCTGATTCTGATGATTCTTTGACCAAAAAAGTAAGTGCTGAGAAAAAAGTGCTTTAGAGTTAAAATCCTAATAATTAAGAAAATAAAATAAGTAAAGAAGCAGTCTAATTGCTCACTCACTATTTCTGGGTATAGTTTTTCACTCCACCCAAAGCTGTCTTCAAAAACAGAATTGTTGTACAGCAATCTATAGTTTCCCTAAAGAACAGTGATGTGATTAAAGGTTACAGTCTTTTTATTTTTCAATAAACTTTATTCTGTATATTTGAGGTTTACAATATGTTATATATCATACATATAAGATAGTAAAGTGATTACTACAGTCAAGCAAATTAATGTATCTATCACCTCACCTCGTTACATTTTTTGGGTGACAAGAACAGCTAAAATCTACTTACTTAACAAAATCCCAAATATCATACAATTTTATTAACCATAATCTTCATGTTATGTTGTACATTAGATCTCTAGACATGTTTATTCTACATATCTGTTACTTTGTATCATTTGACCTGCATGTCCGATTTCCTCCCCTTGACCCCACTCCACCCCTGATAACCACTGTTTTATTTTCTATCTCTGTATGTTTTATCTTTTCTGTTTTTTAGGTTCCATGTATAAGTGATATCATACAATTTTTTTCTTCCATGTCTGGCTTATTTCACTTAGCATAATGTCCTCCAGGTCCCTTTATGTTGTGGCAAATGGCAGGATCTACTTTTGTAAGGCCAAGTAATAATTAATCTATTGTATACAAATACCACATTTTCTTTATCTGTTCATTGATTGACACTTTTCCATATCTTGGCTGTTGTGAATAATGCTGCAGTGAACATAGGAATGCAAATAACCCTAGGAGGTGGTGATTTCATCTCCTTTGGATATATACCCAGAAGAAGAATTTCTGGGTCATATGGTAATTATATTTTTAATTTTAAGAACCCTACATAATTTCTTTCCATAATTGCTATACCAATCTATATTACTACCAACAGTGTACTAGGTTTCCCTTTTCTCCAACTCCCTACCAGCATTTGTCATCTATTGTCTTTTTGGTATTAGTATCCTAATGGGTATGAAGTGATAGCTCATAATGGTTTCACTTTACATTATGGTGGTGATTAATGTGATATTGTGCACCTTATTAGATAGGTGGTTTGCAAATGTTTTTCCCTCAGTAGGTTGCTTTTTCATTTTGTTGATTGTTATCATTGCTGTGCAGAACTTTTTAGTTTTATGTGGTGTCATTTATTTATGCTTGTATTTGTAGCCTGAGCTTTTGGTGTGATATCCAAAAAATCATTGCCAAAGCCATTATCAAAGAGCTTTTCCCCTGTGTTCTCTTCTAGGAATTTTGTGGGTTTGTGTTTTAACATTTTAGTCTTTTTTTTTTTTTTGAGTTGGAGTCTCACTCTGTCGCCCAGACTGGAGTGCAGTGGCCGCTCTGTGCGGACACCATAGCCTCGACCTGCTGGGCTCCAGCGGACGATCCTTCCGCCTCAGCCTTCCAAGTAGCTGGAATTACAAGCATGCGCTACCACGCCCGGCTGATTTTTGGATTTATTGTAGAGATGAGGTCTCGCTGCCCAGGCGGGTCTCTTTTTTTTTTTTTTTTTTTATTCAAGGGCTCACTCTGTCACCCTGGCAGAGTACATTGGCATGATTACAGCCCACTGCTGTCTCAACCTCCGGGGTTCATCTGCCTCAGCTCCTTGAGTAGCTGAGACTACAGACATGTGTCACTGGTCGCCTGGCTAATTTTTTTTTCCCCCCACAGAGTCAGGGTTTCTCTTTGTTGCCTCGGCTGGTCTCGAACTCCTTGGGTCAAATGATCCTCTCACTTGGCCGCCCAAGGTGCTGGGTTTCTCATAGACAATATATATTGGGTCTTATTTTTAGCTCTACTCTGACAGTCTCTTTTAATTGATATATTTGTCACGTTGACATTTAAAATGATTACTGTTATAGTATTAACATCTGCTATATTCTTTACTGTTTTCTATTTGTTGCACTTGTTCTTTGTTCCCTTTTTTGTATTTCATACTTTTTCTGCCTTTTCTGATTTTAATTGAGCATTCTATGAGATTCCATTTTCTCTCCTTTCTTAGCATATCAGTTATGCTTATTTTTTACTGGTTGCCCTAGAATTTCCACTATACATTTATAAGCTAATCCAAATAACACTATATGGATTATATAATACTGTTTCTATTAACACAGTATTTCTAATCCCTTCCTCCTGTCCTTTGTAGCATTGCTGTCATTCATTTTACTTAGCCTACATACATGAATGAGTATACATATTCAAATACATCGCTGCTATTATTAATTTGAGTGAATTATCTGTTAAATCAATTAAGACTCAAAAAAATAAAAGTTTATATTTGCCTTCCCCTATCCATTCTCTTATGCTCTTCCTTTTGTTATGTAGATCCAAGTTTCTGACCTATATGTTTTCCTTCTCTCTGAAGAACTTCTTCTAACATTTTTTGGAAAGCAAGTCTACTGGCAACAAATTCCCTCTGTTTTTGTTCATCCGAGAAAGTCTTTATTTCTCCTGGCATGATCACAGCTACCTTGATCTGCTAGGCTTAAGCGATCCTGCTACCTTAGCTTCCAAGGTAACTGGAACTACAGGTGCACACCACCACACCCAGCTATTTTGTGTGTGTGTGTGTGTGTGTGTGTGTCTCTTATAAATTTTTTTATTTTATTTTATCTTATTATAGATATGTGAGGTACAAGTTAATTTTTTGATGTATTGTAGAGATGAGGTCTCTCTAAGTTGCCCAGACTGGTCTCAGACCCCCTGGGCTCCGACAATCCCCTTGCCTCTGCCCCAAAGTGATGGGATTACAGGTGTGAGCCACCATACCTAGCTCTCCTTCACTTTTGAAAAATAACTTTACAGGCTACATACAGAATTATAGGTTGATGTTTTTTGGGTTGTTTTTTTTTCCCTCTGTCTGTCACTTTAATTATTTCACTCTGCTATCTTCTTGCTTCCATATTTTCTGAGAAGTCAGAAGTAATTCTTATATTTACTGTTTTCTAAGATTTTTTTTCCCTCTGACTTCTTCCAAAATTTTTTCTTTCCCTTTGATTTTCTGCAGTTTAACTATGCTATGACTAGGTGTAATTTTTTGGCATTTATCCAGCTAGTGTTCTCTGAGCTTCCTAGATCTGAGTTTGATAGCTGACATTAATTTTGGGGAGATTCTCAATCATTCTTGTTTCAGATATTGATTTTGTTCCTTTCTCTTGTCTTGTGGTATTTTCATTATGTGTATTTATACCTTTTTATAGTAGCCCCATAGTTCTTGGATATTCTGTTTTGGTTTTGTTTTCAGTCTTTTTCCTCTTTGCTTTTCAGTTCTGGAGGTTTCTATTGAGATAACCCTCAAACTCAAATATATATGCAACAGAATATTATTCAGCCTTAAAAAGGAATGAAGTTCTAATGTATGCTAAAACATGAATGAATCTTGAAAACATTATGCTAAGCTCAATAAGAGACAAAAGGACGAATATATGATTCAACATATATGGAGTTCCTAGAACTGGCAAATTTTTTCTTTCCTCTGTCTACTGATGAACCCATCAAAGGCATTTTTTAATTTTTGTTTCTGTGAGGTTTTTTTGTGGGTTTTTTTTTTCTAGCATTTCTTTTTTATTCATTCCTAGAATTTTTATCTGTCTATGTTATTCTGTTCTGGCATGTTGTCTACCTTTTCCATTAGAGCTCTTAGCATACTGATCATAGTTGTTTTAAATTCTCAGTCTGATAATTCCAACATCCCTGCCACATCTGACTCTGGCTCTGATGCTTATTCACAGTCTCTTCAGACTATGTTTTTTGCCTTTTAGTATACCTTGTCATTTTTTGTTGAAATTTGGATATGATATGCTGGATGAAAGGTGTTCTGGTAAACAGACCTTTAGTGCTATGGTGGTAGATTGTGGAGAGGAAGCATTCTGTTGTCCTATGATTAGGTTTCAGTCTTTTGATTAATCTATGGCCTTGGATTGTGCATTTCACTAGTGTTTTCAGTCCTTCCCCATACCTTAGATGGGGCAGGATAAACCCTCTAGGGAGCTGGAGTTGGGTATTTTTCTTTTCCCGGTATGTTAGGCTCTGTTAAAATAGTTTCTCTTGAGGGCTGACCTTATTAAGAACAGAATGTTTTCATATACATCAGATAATTATTTTTCCCTTCCCTCTTTTTTGAAGCATGAGGAGATTTTTCTCCATTATTCACTGTGAGGATCTAGTAGAGCTTCTGGAAATAAAACTCACAAAAGTAGGAAGAGTTCACTCTGTAATTGGCTCCCCTTACAGCTTTTAACTCTCAGATTTGTGCACACTGAGCTCCTAGTAGTTCGGTTACAGTTCAGGTTTTCCTGCAATGGCTGTGGATGCTATGGAGGTCTCTGCTTATGAGTTTCTGCTCCAGTAAATTGTGACTCTGTCTCTCCAGTAGGGTGGGAGGAGCAGGGAGGCGGACAGTTTCCTTCTGACCCCTCTTTTCTGATGAATCTAAGGAGAATTGCTGATTTTCAGTTTGTTCAGCTTTTTACTCTTTATTAGGACAAAGTGCTGATTTCTACAGTCTCTACATGCTAGACTGAAACTTGGAAGATGCAGAACCTTTATATTCCAAACAGAAACTTTGTACCCATTGAACAGTAATTCCCCAGTTCCCTCTCCACTAGCATTGGTAATCTGTTTTCTCTATGAATTTGCCAGTTCTAGGAACCCCATATTTGTGAAATCATATATTCGTCCTTTTGTCTCTCTTATTGTACTTAGCATAATATTTTCAAGATTCATTCGTGTTTTAGCATACGTCAGAACTTCATTCCTTTTTAAGGCTGAATAATATTCTGTTGCATATATATATACCTCATTTTTTTAATCTTTTCATCTGTTGATGGAAATTGAGTTGTTTCCACCTTCTGGTTCTTGCGGACAATGCTACCATAAACACTGGCATACGAATATCTGTTTGCATCCCTGTTTTTAATTATTT